TGGTTCGTGTTCTCTTCAATGTACCCACCAGACACATTGACACTTTCACATGGTACACCCCCAAGTCATGGACAATTTTTCCAATCAACCATAGCGAGTTCGACAAGCAATATAGCCAGTATCACCGTTTTGTTTCAGACACCCAAGAAGGAGATTCAGCTCGTGCCTTGTATAAATGGTCCTCCAACGTGGAAAGCGCTATCGATCGCACACTTCGATGGCAGAAACAAGCCAATCCACTACAATATCCGCAGGGTTTCCTGCCCAAGCTATTTCGAGGCCGTTGTGCTACACCTCGTCTCATACGTACCACATGCCCAAAATCGCCCAAGCGTGATAGCATGGGCTATTATGATCCACCTACAGAGGTCACATCCCTCAAAAGCCGACACAAGGTCCGCCAAGTCCGGCGTTTAAAATGCTTGGAACGTCTCTATCAAAAACATAATTTGACCTCCTCTAATGTACCTTGCGGGGAGTCTTCGCCTCAGCTTCGAGATATGACAATTTTGTGGCACACCATTCGTAAGGCCCATGGTTATGGCAGGTCATGGGACCGATGGCTCTTACAGTTCGAAATTGTTGCCGCCGTGCCAGTAGAACTCCCAACCTACGATTTTGTGTACTCAGTTCGACAGATAACACAATATGATGCAGACCTATATAGTCAACAAGAAGCCAAATTACAGCGACAATCTCAAAAACATGGTCTTGACCTTGATGTGCAGTATAAATCCAGTTCACACTACTACAAGAAGCTTAAAGCTCAAGAGGTAAAAATTCTGCCAGGTTTCCCCGTCCAGCTCCAAACAACCGCCACCGTGCGCAGAGGATCCAAAGGACCACTTCAACTCATCATACACAAACCAGTCACCTTGCGTTTGTTTGCCGCCGCCCGCTTTGGGACGGCAACGCTTCGTGTGTTAGACCAGCAAGACCACCATGTTACCTGTCAGGTATTAGAAGGCCATGTCCCTACACACGATGACCTCATTCAGGACATTTACGCTTTTGAACTACCAGAAATGGCGACATCTTTCCAGACATACTGGTCGCAATTTTGGAATCGGGATTCAGATTCAGATGAACACAGTGACGACTCTTGGCAGGAACTTCTGCAAACGCTTCGTAACCGTATCCCACCTACTGCTCCACTCACGATCCAGTGGAATGATCCTCATCTTTTGTCTCAGACAATTCAACGACTGAAGCCTTTCAAAGCAGTGGGCATTGATGGATGGAGAGCTGAGGAACTGCAGATGCTTCCACCCGCAGCCATACAAGATTTCACGCATATTCTCGAATCGATCTGGCCCACTGGCCTTTCGGCGCACCAACTCATAGCCCGTGTGATTCTTTTGGCTAAACGAGTCCCACCTACATCCATTTCCGACGGTCGTCCAATTACAATCCTGGGTTACATTAGCCGCCTCACATCCAAACTTATTGCCGACCAATTGTTAAATCAGTGGACACATACCTGGCCAAGTGCCATATCGGGGGGTCTTCCATTCAGGAGCGTACAAGATATTACCTTTATCCAGCAATATCAGATCGAATCAGCTAAGCACCGGTCACTGCCTTGGCGAGGTTTTACCCTCGACCTTATCAAAGCATTTAATCTCTTACCCCGTCGGGTGCTGTATCACTTACTCATCTATCATGGCGCACCACCTCAAGCCATTCGTTTCTGGTTTACAAACCTCAGCCGCATGACTCGTCGTCTGCAGATTCGTCAACAGGTAGGTCCCCCTATCACCATGACTACAGGAGTCCCTGAGGGAGACAGTATGTCTGTCTGCGCCATGCTTGTTGTGTCATCAGCATTTTACTGGACCCTTCAGTCCCCCACTGTTTTTCCATACGCATATGCTGATAACTGGTCCTACCTCACAACCACACAAAGAGATAATCTCCACGCACTCCGGCAGCTGCAACGTTTCGTTGAAGATCTTCGTATGCAGATAGATTATACTAAATCCTGGGCATGGGGTGCTACAAAAGAGGCGCGGTTGGAATGGCAAACGCTCCTTGAAGAGGAATTTCCTGATGATAACCCGGTTTGCATCCTTAACTCAACCAAAGATCTCGGCTGTATGACTCATTATACACGCCATATTACACTGGGACACCTTAAAACAAAGATTAATAGTGCAGTCCAGAGATGTCGTCGACTGCGTTGGTTTCAGACCACCATCACCCAAAAGGCCCAGTTTATCCAAACAGCAATTTGGCCACACGCTTTCTTCGGAGCAGAAACTCAAATTGTCGGGGAAAAGCACTTTCGAACACTCCGACGTGAGGCAACCATTGCCTTAATAGGACCGGAAAAACAGATCTCAAGCTGGCTCGCAGTCCACCTGTTTAGTTCCCAACTTCAAGACCCTCTACTATATGTTATCGCCACAGGACTGTCCTTTATACGTCGGCTCTATCATACTAATTCCGCAGCTTGCACAAGAATTTGTTCAGTCCATAGTCTGTCACACCGGACCGCCCCTTGGTCCAGCAGGAGCCATGGCCAGATATTTACAATTAGTTGGATGGTCCCTAGCTACGGACGGTTCTCTCACACTCGATGGTTATTTGTCTGTCTCATTGAGACATGATACCCTTCGATCGATTCGACACATGATCAGACGCTCTTGGGCATATTACATTAATCGTCAGATTTGCCATCGCAAAGGAGTCTCTGTCGATCCTTTCGATTATACCATTTTGTCTCGTGCTCTGCGATCAATGTCTCCCACGGCTATTCGTCAAGTTGCCTATAATCTTACTGGAGGATACCAAGTGGGTGCGGTCAAGGCCCAATGGACATCTACCGTTGACATCAAATGTCCTCATTGTGGGCAACCCGACACGCATACCCATCAACAGTTGGACTGTCCCAAATTCCATGCTATTCGACAACGTCATCCACAGGCAGTGTCATACCTAACTCGTAATCCACAGAAACTATGGCTCCCACTGCCACATACTTTCCCGGACATTACCATCCTGCGACAGCTCCTTGCGCATCGTGGCGCAGATACAGGCCATACACCCATTCGCTTCCATGATGACACACTCTATTTCTACACAGATGGGTCCGCCGATACACCAACTCACCCTGAGACTCGCCGGGCGGCTTGGTCACTCATCCAGTTCTGCCCAGATCTATCCTCTACACCATATATCACAATCAAAATCCAACATGTGCAAGGACAACAGACTATAGCCCGAGCCGAACTTGCTGCCATTACATGGATTATACAGCACGTGCGACAACAATCTTGGCCACACAAGATCACCATTACCACAGATTCCCAATATGCCATAAACGCCGTTAGCCAAGTCTCTCAGCCTAATCCTTCACTACAGTGGCATCGACTCGCAAATGCCGATCTTTTGCAAACCCTTGTCACTTGTTGGGATCCTGAACGTTTTTCATTACGTAAAGTTCGATCCCATCAGGACCCACAAACCCTACCTCCGGGTCCCGCCCGTGATGATGTCATTGGCAACTCGTGGGCTGATCATGCCGCAGTCCGAGCGCGTCATACTGATCATGTTCAAATTGACACACTATTTCAACGAGCAGACCTCTGGCATCAGGACCAATTACGCCAGACACAGTGCATTCTCACCTATCTTGCTGATCTTATCCTGTGTCATGCTCAGGAGAAACAACAATCAAAGCTTCAGACGTATACTGATCTATCTCATGATGCATCATTAGATTGGGGTGCCCTCTATAGGTCCAGAGCAGTTTACACCATCCATGATGCAGTCCACTTTTTCCGTCCCCATATACACCCTGCTTTCGTTACTGCTTGTGTTTGGGGTAACCAATACGCAGATTTAGTCCTTCAGTTTTGTGCCGCACTCCGATGGCCAGATCCAGATTTAGACCACTCTGATCCAATTGTGACTTCTGGAATTACATGGCTTGAATTGACCATAGCATTCGTAATTAATACAGGCCTCCAATTTCCCACTTGGCTCTGTCTTGACGACCACAAACGTTCACAACCATTACACTGGCAAGACCCACGGGTCCTAGCCTTACCAACTATCAAACGATCGCTACGAGAACAAGCTGAGGCGTTTCGCACCATCGTTCTATACCTTCAGGGTTACTCAGATACCCCCCTGCTGCCAAGATTTACCAAGACTGGTTCTATCAGCCTTACGCAAATTGGATGGGGAAGATCCTTTACAGGGGGCATGCCTTTGCGACCAGAGATCCCTAATTCCGACCTTGTTCAGCGAACGATTTCGCGATATGTTGAAGACCTTCAATGCAAACCACCTTTTCATCCAGATGGCTTGATTCCCATGCGACATGCCTCACCGATTTTTGCAGTTCCGCCGGCTACAGAGCTTACATTTCATCAACGTTTTCTGTACCGACGTAAACTTCGCGAAGCATGGCATCGAGGAGGGGATCTGGACGGAGTCTCAGTGCCACCAGCACCTAATTAGTTATGCGCAACCACTTTGCAGAATTCCTAATTTGCTAGTCTGTCATCCTAGCACTTTGTATAGCCACCTTTTCACAATGTCTTACCACAAGATATTTACCGAACTCCTCGACACCCTCCAACACGGAGAAGGGTCGTAGGAAGCGTGCAGACCGCGACCGCAAGTTTCGTGAGTAGTAAGCCCAGGAGCCCCTAGTAGCTTCTTGCTCCTAGTAGTAACCGCTAGTAGCTTCTTGCTCCTAGTAGTAAGGCCGGGAGCCCCTAGTATCT